AACAATCCATTCTTGTACAGTTACAGCTGCTACAATTACAGCTTTGACAATCACAACCCTGTGAACAATTGATACTGACAGCTGAATCATATGCATAGAATCATATCAGCATCTCTTCCCACCCTATCTTCTCCAGACCCACCTAGAAGAGAGGAAAATATTCCATGGAGACCCTCCTATTCCCCTCATTTTTCAGACTAAGCATACCCAGAAAAGTGTGTAAGACAGCCACTTGATGTCTATATCTCCTACTATTTTAGATAGCCAATGGTTAAATTACCCATCCCTATCAAGGAACTCTGGTAGTGTAGTGGTTACCAATTGGGCTGCGTACCTCAAGGTTGGCAGTTCGAAACTACCAGCAGTTCCACGGGAGAAAGATGAGGCATTCTGCACCCGTAAAGATTTACAGCCTCGGAAACCCTGTACAGGGCCGCTATGGGTCGGAACCGACTGGACAGCACTTACACAACAAGCAACAATCAAACCAGTATTCTGAGGAGACAAGTATTTTCCTTGACTTGAAGAATCTTTTGTTCTGGTTGGAAATTCGAGCTTCTCTGCATCTACAAGCAAAATCCAGTCCAAACCACTTGATTGAAATTTTAAAAGCCAGTCAATTCCCCCCACCCCCCAACACACACACTTGAAAATCCTTTTTTCAAATGCTAATTTCCTATCCTGGGTGGATCAGCATGTGTCTTTTCAAACGCAAATTTCTATTTTTCTTGAATGGAAAGAATATGGGTGGGGCTCAGGCTTTTGACCTAAGCCCCCAGTACTCTATACATAGGATTGCTGCATAGAAACTAAAAACTAAGTTTGTGGATTTTTTGAGCAAATCTTAGTTCCCCTTTTAGCATATTCAATCAAGTATTGGCTGAAAAGCAGAGTTACACACACGCTGTAATCTATAATACACAATATTCATTTCTAGCATACATTTGTTTTTGTGGTTAAGTACTGTCAAGAAAAGATGGACGGAATACAGAGTCATTGTACCAAAAGGAAATGGTTAATGTTCAACCATTTCAAGAGGTACCATATGATCAAGAGCCAATGATACTCAGGGAGGAAGTCCAAAGTGCATTGAAGGAATTGGCAAAGAACAAGGCACCAGGAATTGATGGAATAAAAACTGAAATCTTT